CCTGGAGTGGACGGCGCAGCACAAAGAGGGGTGGCAGGGGCAGGGCGGGCGCTGCTTGGGCCCTTTGCTCGAATGCGGAGACGCAGACAGGCTAAAACGCTGTCATCCTTAAGCGGGTCCAGAGCCGAAGCAGACGACCCGCACCCAGTCTGGGGCCTAGGAAATAGCTGGCTGCCCTTTTAATATGGAACATACTTTCTCAGCCCGATTACATACCGTGGGTAGGTTGTTTCCTATTTTCTAAGTTCAGCGGGGCCTCTAGATAGGTTTCCGGGCCTCAGCATCAGGAGGCTCCTGACATTCTGGGGACAGGATGCCAGTATTTGCAGAATCTACGGCCTGACCCCGAGGGTGTGGATGCGGGGATGGGTCAGACGAGAGACATGGTGGGGGCCACGCCTGTGACATCAGAGCACCTGCGTCAGAGAGTTTGGGCACGGTTCTCCTCTGTGGGGGGGTGGGGGTGCCAGTTCCCGTGGTTCGCCCTCTGGGCGGGTCTGTGCGGAGGTGGGCGTGGAGCCGCAGTGATCACGAGGCGGATTCTGTCTGGCTGCCGTCTGGGGGTCCCCAAGCCACCCGCACACTCCCTGTTAGCATTCGGCGGCATTAGGAGGTGGAGGGGCGAGAGCCGCGCTGAGTGCCTGCTGGCAGCTGCCGCTGCTGAGACTTAGTGGATGAAAACCCACCCACACCTTAGCCTCTCTCGCGCCTCAGGACACAAGGCAGGGGACACTGATTCTGCCTCCTCCAGGGCAGCTGGGTCACCAGGTAATCGGCTGTGATAAACAGGCAGTGGCCCGAGCTCTTGGCAGGCGTGGGAGCCCAGCGCAGGGCGTTTGGAAGGACCCGCATGAGGACACAGTGAATGCTGCCGCCTGGCACTCCATTATTCCGAGTTAACAGGCCGACCTTCCAGCCAGATAACTGCTGTTTACACCAGGAACCCCAGCTCCAGAAATGCCTTACTAATAACAGCGATACCCTAATTAATAATAATGATGATGATAAATGGCACTTTCCGTGTGCCCAGGGCTGCATGGGGTTTCTTGGATTATCTCATTCGATCCTCATCACAACATCACAGATTTTACAGACAAGGAAACTGAGGGACCAAAGGACTCTGAAACCACGTCTGTGACTCGCCTTCCTAAACAAAGAACGACTGACTTCCAGTCGGTGCATTTTTAGCACCGGGTTGCACCTGTCAGTCACTGCTGCCTAAGAAACGACTCCAGAATCTCACCGTGAGGACGCATCTCTTGCCGCACATGGTCTCTACTGAGGACGACATAGTGGGTGGCTGGGGCTCTAGCATGAGGGGAGGGCCAAGGCATCAGGCCACTGCTGCCCTTCTGAACCTCAGGTGACTGAGACTCTAGAAGGAGAGACCGTGGATCGGTGGGGCCACCTGTAGTGTCTAATGTGCTTCAGAACGTCTGTTTGGGTCAAGGTCCGGTCCAGTTTGGTTCCAATCTTGGGACAGGGCTGAGAAACAAGAGTTTCTCCAGGCTCTCCAGATGACTCTGATACGTGCTGAAATCTGAGAGCAGGAAGGTCACAGACACCCGGACACTGTGGGTGTGATGTGGTTCCCCCTTCAGAGCTCACAGCCGCCGTGCAGAACAGACCCCGGGTAGCCGTGACTGTCTGATGGCGGCAAGGACAGCAGGATGGACGTGCCCGGGGCGCACACACACGACCTCGCCTCATGGTTGGGGTGCAGGCGGCCGCACGGAACCTGCGCGGGGCACACGCACCGGACCCCCGCGGCCGCACCACCTCGGGACCTGCCCAGGGAGACACCTGCGCTACCTGGGCCTCCAGGACGGCCACAAAGAGGAGCAACACATGGCCTCCAGGGGAAGGCTGCTTTCCGGGAAAAGAGAAAAAAATACGGAGATTTCAAATACCACCACCAAAAAGCTGTCAAGCCCCAGTGAACAGGGCACTGTGAAGGCTTCATTTAACCTGGGACCTCCCCCACCCCAGGCTCGGTGATCGAGGGCCCCCTGCGCGGTGGCTGCAAGGCTCTTAGACAGGGCAGGCCAGGGACACTTCCCTGCTGCCCAGTTCAGCTGCTCCTCCAGGTGGAGGTGGGCTTGGGGAGGCCTTCAGCCTCACGGGGCCGCGCCACCTCGTCAGGTCCGACGGACTGCCTTCAAATTAGGGCTCTTCAGGTTCATTTTCTAAAGCCCTTTTCTACATTCCCAGCAGGAACACAACACGAGCTGTGGGGTTCACTGCCTTTTAATGTCAGATGTCACAGTTTTCATATGAAAGTGCGCAGCGTTCTGATCAGACACATGTAAGATAAAAACCTCCCAATATCAAGTTTCTAGAGGGCAAGGAAACACAGATGGCGAGGAGCCGGGCACCGCACGGGCCCTCGGGGGGAGCACGGAGGGGGCACCGCGGGCACCATGTGGAGGACACGCGGGCGGCTTGTTTGCTGTCAGTGTTGTGCTGACTGATGTGGACGTGAGGGCTCGGCGGGCCCCGAGGGACGAAGCTCCGGGTCAGATCATCCGCTTTCGTGGCGACGATGTGGGGAGCCACCGCCTCACAGCATCTGGGGCGCCCGAGGGCACCTGTCAGGGGAGGGCGCGGGCGACACGGGCACGATGGTTGCGGCCCTCGGGTGACCCGGCATCCCTCCGGGGGGAGGGTGTCCTCGGGGGCAGGGGCTTTGTGCGCAGTGTACGTGGGTATGTGGGGCAGGCGGGCATCCGACCTGGGGCGCACGGGCACGGCGTGCACATCGGGAGGACCCTGGGATGGTGCGGGCGGATGGGTGGCGGGGCCCTGGCCGCCCTCTCTCGCCCACTGGTCAGCTGCGCTCCGCCGTTCCTCTGCCCCACATCTGCCTTACAGCGCCGGCGAGGATCCGGGGCAGGACACCGTTTCTTGAGTAAATACTGTCTTTCTGATGATGCCTGACGTGTCATCAAGACACCACTGGGGTCATATCCCACAGCTGTGAAATGGAAAAGTATGTGAGGAACTGAAATTACATTGTGTTGAGGATGAATAGTCCTCATGATGGAAAACAAATGAACTCTTTCACGAGCAGCAAAGTCCTACACTAACGTGGTTTCTAAATCTATAAAATAGTATTTTTCCATGAAAAAGTTCAACAGAAACCTCAAAAATATGACAGTGGTAACTGGAAATTTTAACCCAGCAGATGGAGAATAAAGATGGATTGGATTCAGTCAAGGAGGGGAACACACACATCAGGCACCGAACGGGTGTGGGGGACACGCTGTGTCCTCTCCGTGTCTTGTCTCATTTTCAGATAAAGGAACCGAGGCTCCCGGAGTTCACCTTAAACTTGTTCAGAGTCACAGAGGCCTAGTAGCTTCCAAAAGGACTGACCGCCTCATCCTGCCGCCGCCTCCGAGCAGAGACCCGGACGGGCCGGAAGGCGAGGCCTGCCGCCCTGCTTCTCAGGAAGGACACACGTGTGACCTTCTGTCCCGGGCCTCTGCTGGCACTGAACCGCGGTGGCCTAGCACAGCCCTCAGGGAGTAACCCATCTCACTGGGAAAAGGTGCTGTTCTTCCCTTGCGGGTTTTCTCAAGTCCTACTTTTCCTTCAAGGCTCGGCTCAAGTCCCACCTCCTTCATGAAGCCAGATCCCCACCAGCCCAACTTCCTCTTGAAATAACTCCTCTGGCTGCTGACCGTGTGACCTGTCATCAGCTGTCTTTTTAAGACAGGCTCCCTCCCAGGGCATGAGCTGCTCCCTGCAGGGGAGACCCGGGTCTCTGGTGTAGGGCCAGTGCTTGGCACGAGCCTTGCAGTAATGCACCCTCAAAATTGCTCCCTGATGAGCGGGACCTTCTGAGTGGGCATCACGTAGCCTTGGAGCTCCTGTCTATTTCCACAGGGGCTCTATAATAAGACGGCACCCTACCTTAATGACCTTGTCAGTCCCAGACGTCAGCAGCCATCCCCTGGTCGCATCGAAATGCACGTGCACAATGTTGTGTTTGCTGTCGTGGAAGGTGGCCGTGGGCGCACGTCTGGAAGGGGCACAGACAGTCACCACCAGTGGAATGAAGGGGCTCTGGGCTGACACTAGGCTCTAATTTTTAGCCAAGTGGACAAAACTGCCTCACTGTTAGAATGTTCCTCGGATCTACTTTTATTCCCTGGTGACCTGTTATCTTCATAAAAAATGGTAAAAGGGTCCTTATATTCTCCAGAATGGGAGGTGATGAAATTGCTAAAAGTTGCTCTGATACAGTCTATGCAAGTCTCTACCTGTGCTTCTGACAAAGTCTTAAAAAAACAACAGCGTTTCTGCTAAGCTCAATCTCAGAAGGACTTGCTGGGAAAACAGTCTGCCTTGGCCTATTTTTAAAAGAGCATGCTCCTTAAAATGCCTAAGATGCTACTATCATTCTAACCGGAAGGCTATCCATTCTTTTCCTCTTTTCACTGGTAAAATGCAGGCTTAGTCTTCCTGTAGTGTTCTGACACTTCAACAGGTAAAACAATATATAAACAATTAGATTTTTAAGTGTTTTGTATTTTTTGATCTATGCTTTTTGGTAAGAGGCGTGCTGATGCGCAGGTGCTCTAGAGGCCAGTGCTTCCAGGACACAAGGGCGCATGGGGAAGGGGTGACGCGTGGACGGCCAGCTCTCTCCAGGAGTGTTTCGGGGCTCCCCACGCCTCTGCACAGGGCTCTCTGCGGACGGCTATTTCCTCTGTTCATCTGTAGCTAAATCTGTAGACAGATCTCCAGTATAGTAAAAAGAATGACCTTAAAATATTTACAGTCACTTAGACTCTTGGGGTCTGTGTCTTACAAAATGAAGAATGGAACCAGGAGTCCGTACAGCCTCTTGGTAGCTCTGATGCAACGAGAATTCTCCTACTATTTCATCACATATGATGAGTGGAAAATAATGAACATAAGTGCTTACTTATGCAAGGACGTCTTAATTTGTATTTGATGTGGATAAGTCAAATGAAAACATACAATTAGGGCTATTTGTAAGAGAATGCTATGGTTTATTAATCTGCCAAGAATTTCCTTTAAATATTGGCTTCTTCTGATGCATTTTGGATGCTTCTGATTACAAGCAGCTTTTAAGGCCCCCCAAACAGGACCCAACGTGGTTCTGTTGCAAGCCAGGTGCAGAGGTCGGGGTGGCGGGATAACTGGGGAGACAAGCATCCTATGAGATCCTGCCGTAACTCGTGGGGAGGGGAACCTGCAGCGGAGCATTCCATCTGTATCTGGGGCCTCACAGCAGGGCACCCTAGGGCCACCTGGGGCCGTATGCAGTTAAAGAGAGCCCCCAGATGTGCGGTCCTCCTTGGACCCCTGAAGGGCGGTTCACCTGATATCCCAGATAACTGGGTGAGGCCAACAGGCAAGACTGCGGGCAGGGAAGACGGCAGGATGCGCCTCTCAGGTCAAGAGCTTGGCCGTACCCGTGGACCGATTCAGCTCTTTGTAAAGAAACAGCTTGGGCTCAAAAGCGAATCCTGGGCGACCCTCAAGGCAATGAGCCGATAGAAGGGCACCACCCCAAAAGCGGTCTGCACGCACACACCCCGGGACCGCCAGGGCACAGGGATGAATCCATTGTGTGCACTGCCTTCTGTGGCACAAGAACACCAACTTCCTGGTGGAAAGGAAGGCTCTGCCCACCTGCACATCCGAATCCCGGCTGGCAGGAGCCAGTGCGCCGAGGGGGCCGGGCCCGGGGCGGCCCGCAGCCCGACAACGGCGGGACTTACTCTTCCTCCGTGATGGCCTCGTGGCAGCTGTCGCACACCCGCACCGCAAACTCGAAGCCCATGCGCGGGATGGAGGAGCGCCGGGCGCTGCACTTGCCACACACGGCCTTCCCGCACTTGCGGCAGTGGTGCTGGGGAGAGAGCAGAGGCTGCCAGGCTGTGCCAGCCACTCAGGGCACAGAGCCCCCTCCCCCCCCGCTGCCTCCTGCCCCGTCCTTGGGGCTTCCCGGCCATCATCAGGACGAGCCCAGGAGTCCCCCAGCAGCCAGGCCGCCACAGGGCGGCTGCCGCCTGATTTCCCTGGGGAGGACCGAGCCCCACCACATACACTGAGCATGCTGTGTTGTGAGTCAGTCTAAACAACTAGAACGAAGCCGGAAGGAGGGAAAATGAAACTGAAAAGAAGAAATAACCACTGACATAATTTCATGGTTTGGTACCAACATGAGCTAAGCGCGACCCCTCTCATTTGAAGCCGTATTTCAGGAGATGCCACTAGAATTCTGCAGTCACGTCCCTTATCTACCTACTGGGATCAAGTCAGTGCAGAAACTGGCCCTGCAGGAATGAGCGGCAGCAGAGAAAGGGAACAAACGTGCAGCCACACAGCGACTCCAGGGCAGTGCCCCCACCCACGACTCCTGCCCAGGGCGGTTTCTCCTGAGATCACAAACTCCACACTGCTGGGCTGGGGTGAAGCGTCGTGCCACCCACCTGCCTGAGGCCAATCTTCTTACTGTCCCACATCTGCTTGAAGTTCCAGAAGAAAGGCTGCTCACACTTCTGGCAGGAGTCGCTGTCCAGCCACTCAGGGGTCTTGTGAAATGAGACACACAGAGTGAGGGGCAGTGAGGAGAATGGCCGCCGACTGGACGGAGGTCACAGGACCAGGACGAACCGAGAGGTGACTTCTCAGCCCGCCACCTCAGAGGCACTCACCGCACGCCCGCCAGGTGTCAAGTCCTGGGGATGCAGTGGGGAGTGAAGGGGATCTCCACCATCAAGGGGCTTACAGTCTGTCAGGGGGGACTAAACACGAGAGCATCGTTTACTCACATCGTTCACATGAGTGTGCGTGCCAAGGCCTGACCAGGAGAGCATTGTGGGCGCCGTGTGGCCTGGGCCGTGGCTCAGGGCTGTGGGGGGAGGCCGGGCCACACCACACGGGCTTCACAGCCATGCTGAGGGTGTAGGACTTGTCTCTATGCTCTGATTGTGAGCAGCATTGCTTGGTCTGGCTGTGCTGTTACATGTAACTGCACGTCACACATGTACATGGCTACCTGTGTCGCAGGGGCGCAGCCTGGCCGCAGGCACTCAGAAGCTACCTGCCTGCCGGTGGCAGAGCCCAGCAGGTGTGAGGCCTATGCTCCCTGCCTCGCGGGTCACACAGTATCCTGGCTTCTTCCCTAGTGTCCTGTCACGAGCGCTCTGAAGGGTCACACAGGTTTAAAAGATGTGTCGAGCCTAAAGGCCTTCAGCGAATCTTGGCAGATCACACACACAGTGACTCCTCATATGCGCCTGAGTCCCATGCGCGGCTCCCCGGAAGCCACTGTTTGGGGGAGCTCCCCTCTCCTTGTGTCCCCAAGCCCAAAGAATGTGGAGCACGCGCCCACCTAGGGTCCCTGGAGCGGACGGCAGCTCCAGCTCGACTCGGGGCGCTCACTGAGAAGGGGCCTGGGATGAAGCAGGCTGCAGAAAGTGACAGCCTGTTGTGCTTCGAGACCCACATGGGGCGGCGGCAGAGCCGAGGCCAGGAAGGCCTGTCGCTGTGGATGGAACCCCCCTGAGAGCGGCCTGCAGGGACGGATCTGGGGACTCGTCTGTCCTCCTACCTTCAAGCAGAAATGAACCTAAAGCTACACAGTGCATCAAAAAGAAGAGTAAAAAGGTGGTATTTCGGAGTTGTGATTCTTGGTTTCTTTTATTAAAACCAAAGAAAAGAAGCTAAGCTTTGATTTGCCCTTTTTGTGCCCTAGTCAGTCTCAAGACACATTTAATAACATAATACTTTTACCTAAAGGCATTTTACCCCTAAATGTCGTATCTATGTTGTGATTTTTCAGAATGCTAATGATGCAGGTCGATCAGGAAGATTTATAAGGAGGCTTTAACACACACACACACCCTTTCCCATCTGTCACAGGGACGTGTTCAGACTTAGGACATATATTCGGATTCTTGACTGCACCACAGTGGGTTTCGCTGAGGACCAGGAAGGGGGGGAAAAATCAAACAGTACATGCAGTACGATTCCATTTTTGCAGGAAAAAAACACAAAAAATATTTCACAAATGTACATTCCCAGAGAAACTGGGAGTCAGGACTCGCCAGCACGTGAAGGGTGGCATTCCTGGCTGGTAACTGATACCCAGTAACTTTGCTACAGAGAATAAGTACTATGTATACTTACAAAAAACAGTACAATTTTTGAAAAAATGGGTTGCATTCACTGTATAAACACGCTGACCTTGGGATGTCAACCTGCCCCGCCGTGCTGGGCCTCTCAGGGTCCTTGGCCACCCGCCCACGCCCTTGGCCCCGGTGGCCGCTGGCCTGTGCCCACTGCCCGGGAGCACCGGCGCTGCATGTGGCCCCGGGCTCGCCTGGCCCCTCCTCCCGGAGGCTCTTGCTCCAGTGAGCACATCCCGGCCCTGTCCCTCTGTCAGCACTCTGCCCTCCCACAGCCCCTTCGCTGAGAATGTCGGCAAACGGTGGTGACGCCCCCTCCTGAATACCCAACACTAATGTTAAGCCTTGCATCAAGTGCGACTGAATCATTTGTACCACATGATAGTTTTCTGAAGTTCATTCCCCTGTCTTTTCTTCTGAAAGTCTGCCAACTGCTCATTACATGTCTCGGGCCTCCTGAGGTGACCCGTCACACAGACACATCTCGGGAGATTTAGGGTTATAGCTATGACACTTTCGAGAAACAGATGGAAACATTAGTACTCTGTACTGCTCCATAAGATCTGAAATAGTCACGACACCAAGTGCCCACACAGCTCCGGGCCAAAGGGCGCACCTGAAGCGACCACCTGGGCGGTCACTGACCACCCGGCTCTGTCCCCGGAAACTACACGGTCACCCTCTTTGGGCCTGTGCCCATCAAGGCTGGAGGCTGCATGCACCGAGGGCAAAGAGCCTGGGGCGCCACTCCCTGGTCTCGTCAGGAAGGCCTGGGAGGCAGCCAGGCCAGGCCAGGTGGGGCTGCCCCTCGCCCAGAGCAGGCTCTGTTTGGAAGTGCCCGTCACGTGGACAGCCTGGCTTGTGAGGCCGGCACAGTCGGACCCACCTCCCTGCCTTTAAGCTGAAGGGGCCAAGCGGTACTTTCAAAGCAATATTCTACAACCAGCCCCTTCCTAACAATAAGGGCCATTTTAATTAGTTACTAACAGAACGCCCACGGATTTGCAGTTCGAGCAAAGCAAGCTTTAGTCTTAAGCATTTAATTACTGGCAACGGAGAGGCATCCCATCGTGGGTGCCGGTGACTGCTGAGGTGCGGCTGGGGCGGGGGCCCTGGGGGAAGCTGGCGGATGCCCTTGTCCTCTGCAAGAGCTGTTTTCTGTCTGACTCGTGCGTCCTGCACGGAACGAGTTAGAAGAACGTACTCTATCTAAGGGGCAGCCTACCCCCGCCAGTTCCAGGGAAATGAGAAAACGGTGACTTCAAAGCACACATCAAAGGGAATATTCAGTAAACACATCAGTTGTTTAGATGCTCAAAGATGAAAAAGAAAGCTCATAAAAAATCTTATGATAAAACAAATACATGCCTAAAAAATAACACAGTATATATTTATACCTAAAAGACTGGTTAGAACACGACTCATAATGAAGCTCCCAAATAATTATTCCTAGTATTTCTATTAACACCAAACTAGGATTGCTTCTCCATCAAATACCGTTTATCACGCGCTAGTCACCATTTCGCTCTAACAGAAAGCACGTGAGTGTCTGTTTTTGTAGGGTGCTGGACACCAAAGGGCCAAGTAGCCGAAAGGGGTGGTTCCTTCTCACCTGTAGGACAGTACAACGGATTTTAGGAACATCTCTACGCTATCAGTGTTCCATGCCAATTCGGGAGACCTCCAAAAAAGGAAGCTCCTTTTACACTAGAATTTTCTATTTTGACATACATCTTCGTTCACGGTTTAATCAGAGAAGTAAGGAGTGAACAGGAGGGGAGGCCGAGGTGTTTCTCAGCAGAGCCAGAGCTGCCCGCCCAGCCCAGCCTGCTGACACCTACCTCCTGCCTCTCCACGTCCATGTTCCAGACGACGATCCCACCGTCGCCGCCACAGGAGATGAGTTGCCTCGTGTGCTGCGCGTAGCAAAGGGCCTGGACTCTGTCACTGCGAAAGACACCACGGATCAGGGACAGCAGGTGAAACCCCTAAGGCGTGAGGCCCCCAGAGCCGATCGGTGCCCAGGCTCAGCCCCGAGCCCCGGGCCCCGACCTCGGGAATCAGACGGAACCGTGGACGAGCTCACGGCCCGGCGGGTGCCTCCAATTCTGAGTAAGTCAAGTGCTCATTGGAGGTGCTGAGGCCCCAGGAAGAGAGAGGATCACTGTTTCCAACACTTAAGGAAAAAAGCTGATTTGCTGAACTGGTTGTGATATCTCACCGGCTCCTTCCTGATTAATTAAATGATATCTGTGATACATGTTCATGCTGTACTTGTTCAAGTCATGATTTCACCTTTTAAAAAAGCATCATCTTTAGGAGCTGTGGAGGTCATCCATTGAGGTGCCCACTGGACGTGCCTGACAGGCAGGTAAACTGGTGCCTGAGGCTCCAAGCCCCCTAGTGCTTCGTGTCCACACACACGTCTTTCTGGGCTCTTAAGAGTGATTTCACAGCAGCAGCGGGTTTGAGTTGCACTGACTATTTCTCTAGTTTTCATTCCTATTTTGTGTTTTATTTTCTTTCTAGTTCCACATGGCGGACAAGTCATGCTCTCTTTGTGTCGACCATGACGGAGAATTTCAGTTTTGAGGTCTGACAATTCGGTAATCGCTAATAAAAGATTACAGAGATCTATTTTCTGTTGGGTGAGAGAAGAGAGAATCTGGTTTCTTGATTGTTTTTGCTTGAATATTTTTTTATTTTGAACTCAAAACAATTAAGAGTTCTGTGCCCACTGGGAAAGAGAACAGCTCTTTGAAATCTGGACCAGCGACCTTTTGTGGTCACTTTTGTCCTGTGGCTGAAGCTATGGACAGAAGCTATTAAGCTCTTTGTGTCTGTGTCTACAACCAGAAAGGCCTTTACCTCTTGTATATGAAATAAATACTCCATTTCCAGAGAGTATCAATAAATTAGATTATAGCACCTTTTAAATTATAAAACATGTTCTGTTTGTTTTATAAAGATAAACAAGGGCTTACATAAATTGGATACAGATTTTCCTGGACTTAGGATGGGGTTACACCCTGGTAAACCCCACAGTAAGTTGAAAGTATCTGAAGTCAAAAATCCATTTAATACATGTAACCTATGGAACACCATAACTTAGCCTAACTCACCTTAAATGTGCTCAGAACACTTACATTAGCCTCCCGCTGGGCAAAATCACCTCACACAAAGCCCACTTTACAATAAGTGTTGACTCTCTCCTGTAATTCATCGAACACTGTACTGAAAGTGGAAAACAGGCTGTCTGGATGCAGAGACGGTTCCGACAGCTTTCTCTGCGGGAATGAGCTAAGGTTCGGGAGACCTAAGCTACCAGCTGGGGGTCTTGGAGAATAGCAGCTCGGTATTCTCATCTAGAATATTGTATCTGGCTTCTTTCTTTCATAGGGCTTATAAGATTAAACTGAGGTTCTATGTATTTTGAAAGCTCTTTGACAAAATATTAGGCACTATTCAAATTTAAGAATCAGTGAACACAACCCAGTGGCCGATGTCGAGGGTAAAGGAATGGCTGCTGGGAACGTGGGCCTACGACCTCTCCTTCCTTCCCACGCCTTCTCTGTGAATCCCATTCTCGTCCTTCCAGAAGCTCTGGGGCCTCCCTGCCCCAACCCCGGGCGCTCAGACCCACGCTAACAGTGACACCAACTGATGCCAGGACGTCTACTTCTGGCTCCGGGACACCAGGACAGCCCTGCTCAGGCTGAGGCCCAGGGACACGGAGCCCTTCAGTTACTTTATTCCTAAATTGCATTAAATAAAGCTCCAGGCAAAGGCCTTCTGCCAGTATCGTTTAAAGCCGGTTCTGACTGGTGGTTCCCGATGTCACCAGTCTGCCTGACCCTACCAGGAGGGACTCCGAGTGTGGTCTGCTCTGTTTTCCAAAAGGCCACGTCTGTACTTCTCCGAAGCTGGAAGACATCTTAGTTTAGGTTTTGTTTTCCTGAGATGGAGAGACTTGTACCCTAACTTTGTAGCTTTCCTTTTCTTTCCAAACTGTGGGTGCAAGTTTCCCAGGACCACATTCTGCCTGAGGGCACTCAGTACCCAGTGGTGTTGGTGGCCATCAAGGTACACCTGGACACCCTGTGGGTGCGCAACGCAAGAATGCTCACAGTCTTTTTTAGCCATCGTGTAAAGATAAAACTGGCTATGAGCTCATCAGAGAGAGTCCAGCTGGCACTGTGGCTCTTCTCTCAAAACCTGCTCTGTCCCCGGTGCCCGAGGTGGCAAGAATCACCTGGCAGGCCAGGCGAAGACTGAATGATCCTGCACAGGACCCTGGCTTCTGTCTCTCCATGTACACGGATGGGGCCACCGCCTTCTGCATGAGCTCCCGCGTGTTCCCTCACCGTGGGGACGAGCGCCCAGGAGGGCATCCTCCAGCGCGCTGAGGGCAGGATCTCCATGGCCCCAGATGACTGGTCTGGCCCCCGCTGTGGGAGCGGAGGGCTTACTAGCTGCTTCTCTATGTCTGAACTCTAATACGGAAATAGTAATCTGTGCCTGGGCCCCCCAGAATTGAATTATCTCATATCTGGTAATCCCAAACTGTACATTTAACTACTTAGGAGAATATTGTAAAACTAGTATTCCCAGGCAGATTTACAGAAGAGTCGGTGTTACTTAAAAGCAGCCCATTCTCGGGGGCCTTCCTGCCAGTTTATGCCTGTCGGGACACTCTATCATTTTGAGAACTACCAGCTTACAACAATTCGGGTTAGCTGCAGACTGCTAAAGCAGATCTCAAGTTATTTTCTGCACACGACCAGCCTCTGCCCCCGGGGACTGCAGGCTGCACAGGACAAATGAGGCTGGTCTGAGGGTCACCAGCAGAGAGCGTGGGAAACGTGTTAACACGGGAGCCGGCAGCGCCCGACTGCTGTCCCCGAGGATGAGGCCCAGAATCTTCTTTTTAGCTAACGCCTTGGGGACCCTTTGCGCCCGTCCCTTAAGAACGAGGAGCCTGATGTGAATTGAGGCCAGTACTCAATCAATATTTGACGAAGTACAAAATGTATGTGTAAGGGTGTTTTCTCTCCCCTTGCTGTAAGCTGCCAGGCATCTTGAAGCCACATTTGAACTCAATTCTACAGGTCTTCATGGTTTGCATTTTTAAGCTCTTTCTCTCAAATTTTTACTCTTCTATTCTCCCTGGTTCTAATTTTTACCTATTATTTATTTGCTACCATTATTTTATTTTATGACTTTTGCAAGTGCTCTTATACTGTCTGGCATCAGATGGGGCGTAAACAAACACACATACGTGCAGACGTGAACCCCAGGGGCCTGGGTCGGCGGTCCTGCCATGCCCCCCCTCAGGCCAAGGTCCCGCCCCGAGACAGGGAGTTCTTCACGAAAGCCTCACTTGTGTCCTTGGAGCTCGATGGCTGTCCCTCTTCTCCCACCGATGTCCCACATGATGACAGAGTGGTCGGAGCTGCCGGAGAACAACACCCGCCGGCCGGGGTCCCAGCAGAGAGCGGTCACCCCACCTGGGAGGGGACACGCAGCCGGGGTCAGTCACAGACACCACACCGCCGCCAGCACCGGCGGAAGCCAGGGGGGTGTGCACCGCGCTCTGGTGGAAAGAACAGTCTTTAGTCCCTGAGGGAAAAACACTGGCTCCAAGAATAAAAGTCTTGCCCATTTTTTCCCCCAAATTTAATGTACCATAAAGTCAACTACTATAAAGACCAAAGGGAAATGAAAAAGGCAAATTAATTGACCTTCAAACAATAGACATAATTTGAAGAGTGGAAAATATCATACTGTTTGCAAATATTAACCGTATTTTCTTAACTGCTGTCTACTTCCCACCTTGACAATAACAGAGAAGTAAATGGGGTTTAAAAAACCTCAATGACATTTTTTAAATTCTTGAACACAGATATAATTAGACTACAAGAGCAGAATTTAAAATTATTTTTTCCCTTTTGGAAATTTAAATTCACAGATTCTGGGCAAATCACCTACATCATTAAGTGCCAATCTCCTCATGTGTAAAATGGGGGTGGTGACCCGGCACCCAGGACCACAGCTGGTGGTGGCCCCCTCGCTGCCCACCTCACGGGACCGTGCGGGAGCCAGGAGCTCGGGCACACGGGCGCTGCCCTAAACCGGAGCAGGGGTGCACGTGGTGGCCAGGGCATTACTCTAGTGGTGTGGCTATAAAATAGAATGGCAGGTTTTCCTCTCTGGTGGTTCCCTCATAAACAAATTCCTTGTAATAATGAGCATAATAACTTTTTCCATGTGAGCACATAGCCTAGAAATACTGAAGAATATGAGAGATACTCATTTTTTACATTACTGAAAAATACTATACTCTGAAAGGAACATATAGTAGCTTCTTATTTGTTAGAACCTGACATTTTTCTTATTTCAATGGTCAACTTTTAAAAATGCAGTTCCGCACTTCAAAAGCTTTTAGGAAAGTTTCGTACCTAATTGTCTCAGATTTTTTCCTCCAAGATCAAAAGGAAAGAAACCAGAAACTCACTTTTCTGGATTATGCACAACAGCTTCCTCGGGTCCCCACACAACATTCTGTTTGTATATATTCCTCTCTTTGGGGGAATAATCACTTCCCCCAGGTGCAGGTGTAGCTACCTGAGATGCCCCATCTTCCCCGCCCCCAGGATAACACACCAAGCACACAGCCAGCAGGGGACTGCGCTGGAGTTCTCTGTTGAAAGGAGCAGGTGAATGAAAATACGAAACTCCTGTTATTTGGACCTCCTCCGCTATGCTTACTAGCCCTTCCAGGCTAAATATGTTCTCCTTCTGTAAAAGTCATCTTCTTTCCCTATTAAACTCCTTCAACATTCGGCAATGGACACCTTAGGACACACAAACGATCGTGCAAGATGTGTTACTCATCCCCACAGCACCCGACGGCTCACTATACTAAGGATCTCTGCCAGTGTCGGCTACTAGCCCCCCTAAATCCATGTCCCCTTCTGCAGAGGGCTCCTTGGACAGCTAGTTCCGCAAAAAGCACATTTACCAGGCCCTCTTGCATGTAGGGGACACTGACCAGTTCTCGGTGGGTGAACCCGGAAAGTATGTGGTCATTTGCGTCCCTTCCAGGCCAAGGCAGCCGAGATGCCGCCTTCCCACTGTCTCCTCATACGTCCTTCTCAAGGACTCCAAGCCCCCACAGCAAGGAGAAACTACGTCCTGGGAGCCGGGGCCCTGAACCACACATGGAAAAGAGCTGTAAGTGAGGAATACCCACCCCGGATTGTTTGGTGAGCTGGAAATAGCCTGCTGCTGCACGGAGCCCCTGAAATGTCGGCGGTGATTTGCTAGAGCAGTTGGACTGGCTGTTCCAATGCCGTGCATTTACTGGAATATCCGAATAAGGCCGCTCAAGAGGAGGGGGGAGCCCCCAAAAGTTCATAAACCAGACAAGAAAAAAGAAGTTACTAGTTAAGACTGTTACTACTGAGGCCTAATTTAAACAGAATGGGAGAGAATCCTGGTTGGAGATCTGACACGTTAGCCTCCCAAGGAATCCACTGTAGCCTCCCAACTGGTTTCTCCTCCAAAACACGTCTAACATCTAAGCTCTTTCACCTCTACTGCTTAGAGCCACTATCAAAATTCTTGCCTGAAAAATTAGAAAGTATGACATGTATTTTCTTGGGAAGTATGATACAGTGAGTCATAAGAAATACAGATTTGGTCTTTCATACGAGCACATACATGTTTCCCAGGCATGCTGTCTTCACCCACAGTTCCTGAAGACACGGCAGAACCTTAAAGGTGAGGTGGGCGTCTGTCATCAGAACTGAGTTCTGGACACCTGCTGGTGTTGGAGAACTGCTTGGTGTCCCGTGTGGGAAGACCCCCTCCCATTCCCTCCCACACACCAGAATCAGGTCCAGGAACCCGAACGGAGTCACACTACCACTGCTGTGGGTAATACTATTATTGCTGTCGCATGTGGGAGAACACAGCGGAGGGAGCCTGCGGGGAAGAGGCCCTCTCACACACTGCCGGTAAGAGGACAAGCCAGAAAACAGGCGGCCAGACCCGCTGGGACTGCACTGCACTTGGCTTTTAATCCAGCAGGTTCACTTCTGGGAACTCATCGTGAAGGTGCTGCCCGGCTCCCACCGAGTAGCACAGGGATACATGTGCCCGAAGCTGTTCGTGTTAGCACTGCAGCACTGGAGAATACTGGGAACAACCTAATTCCTCAAGTAAGAGGGTGGGTGAATAAACTACAGTTCATTCAGTTTATGCCAAATCACGAAATGAGCAGAACGCTCCGAGGTGCATACGTAGCAGTTTCCAGGATATACTGTGAAGTGAAAGGATCATATGTACTACATTCCCTTTCATCAAAAGAAAAGAAGGGTATATAGGAAATAATGAGATTAGTTGATTACAAAGCCTGGGAATGGGAATGGAGGAAAGCAGCAGAATGACATTTTTTTGTTTAGTTCTGAGTTTGGGAAACAAGTGAATGTTTCACATACTCAGAAACAGGTAAGTAAACTCAATGAGGAGCGTGTTGGGGTGCAGACCCAAAGTGGGGCATCAACAGAAAGAAGTGAACCTACTCTTATTACCGATGAGTGACAGGAAGGAAGGCGGGCGGAGAACGGACTAAGGAACTTTGGGAAATGGTGATCTGACCGCAGGTCGGAGGAGAAACAGTCAAAGGTTTGCCCACAAACACAGTGCTCCAGTTGTAGGTTTGAATTTCACTCTAGTTAGTAGGTTTGCATGTGGGTTATTTAGATTAGTAATTCTGAAGCTGTTCTATGTGTATTTTAGGGTTGAGCAACTAAATAAACATACTCAGGATAATGAAAGCTGAGTTTCTTACTATTATAATAAGAGTTACAAATATGGAGGGTGGGGAATGTTAGAATAAAGTCAGTGTTGGACAGAATTGGAAACATCAATATAAAATTGTTGTGGATACAAACACACATACAACAAGTGTTACAGAAATCATTGCAGATATGTGGTTACACACATATTTTCCAGCTCTGTCTACTGAGAGGGCCTCTGAGCAATGACACCTCATTCACAGTGAGGACGCACAGCACCCAGATTTTGGCTTCTAAATACTATTCCTCAATGAAAGAAGGAGGGGTATTTGGATAGGTGATTTTAGAGCCGAGGCAAAGAGCTAACAAGATGAGCCAGGAACTTCGTGTGGTACCAAAAAGTAAGATGCACTTGAAAAATGGGGGTAAATAAATGTCAAAACACCTTAAGAACCAACAGGAAGGGGTTCCTGTGATCAAATCAGGGACAGTTTGAGCAAGATCAGTGAATGGTAATAACAAATCCTCACACATAGAAACAGGTAAGAACTTGTGGGCCCAAGCAGGTACAAACAAATAAATAAATGAATAAATGAGAAGGAAATGTACATTTGTTCTTATAGTGCAATTCTAACCAAACAACAGAGAAGGAATGATATTAGAAAAAGCACAATATAGCAAACGCCGCAGTCACTATTATTTCTGAAAATCACCATCAATGGATACTGAAATTATTGGGCAGAAATATGATGAGAAACAATATTTACATTATGTCAAAGTATTTCCTCATAACATAGTTATGAATTACAAAGGGTAATTAAAATGCAGAAACCCTCCCAGACACTACTTTAAGCCCGATGATCAAGTTACCACCACGAGTCACAGGTCAAACCATACCCTGTGCCTCCTGATAGGCTGCACTGAGGAGGACATAGTATTCATCCGTTCTGTGGTATTCTTATAAAAAATGTGTAACCTGAATTTAATCATGAGGAAACATTACACCAATGGAGGGACATTCTGGCTAGTACTAAAAATTGTCAGGGTCATGAAAGACGAAAGCACTCTTCCAGGATCAAGGAAACGAAGGAGATTCAGCCACATGCGTGGGTGTGGCCCTGAGCCCAAGGAAAGGCACTTGGTGGGACAACTGGGGGATCTGAACAGGGTCTGCAGCCTAGAGAACAGACTGTATCAATGCTCATTTCCTGATTTTGATATTGGTGCTATTGTTCTCAAAGATGTCAACATCTGGGGAACCTGGGTGAAGGATGTACAAGACTCTGCACTGTTTTGCAACTTCTTTAAAGTCTTAAATTATTTCAGGATGAAACAAAAAAAAAAGCCTGAGACTGTAAGACTATTATGATATAACTAGCTCCCTGTAAGGTGTCCTGCTGTCTGTGCTTCCCCAGCAGTCGGTGGTCACCGAGGACTGCACAGCACGCAGAACACCCCTGCTCTGGTCGGGGCTACGCTTCCCATCCTGTTCAGGTGACGTCAGGGGTCCTCTCCATGGCCTTTCCAGGCCCTTCCGGATCTGGCTCCGGTCCCTGCCGTGGGGCCTCTCGGCTCCCCTCTTCCTCCCGACTGGCTCTGCTCTGGTCTCACGGCCTTCCTGATGCCCCCTCATGCGTTGGCTTCTCTCCCACTGCAGTCTCTGCACTCGGGGTGTCTCTGCTGTGACCCCTTCCCCGACTATTCACGCAGGGGCGATGCCACCTCCTGGACAGCCTTCCTTGAGCGCTCTTAGCACACTCCTTGTTCTGTCTTCCTTGGGGCATAACAACAGAGTACGTATTTATGCATGTACCGTCCACTGCCCCAACCTTACGTAAGCTCCGGAAGACCAGGGTTTGGCTTCTTCGCTACCGTATCTCCAGGACTAGAATGCTTCCTGGCTCGCAGGAGGTGCCCGGTAAGCACAGACGCGAGCAAGCGGCTGAAAGAGGGCAGAAAGGCATGAGTGGATGTCCCCTGCCTTGTTCTTCGCACGTCTCTCTCCCCGGTGACCAGCGTTCATGGGACAGCCCTGGCCTGTTCTACCAAGCACGCCTTTCAGGTCAGGGAATGCCCGCGGGGAGCTCTGGAGGTGGTCTTACTTGTCTGGTTGGGCCACTAAGATCAGGGGGACAGAAAAGAGAACGATGACGAATGCATGATTTTACCTATTTAACATGTGTTTGTGTTCCCCCAAATTTCATGCTGAAACCAAATTCCCAATATTTGGAGATGGTGAGGTCATACGGGCGGAGCCCTCGTGAATGGGATTAGTGCCCTCGGGAGAGTGACCCCAGGGAGCCCCCTCACCAGCCCCTGCTGCCAAGGTGATCACGAGCAGGTGGCTGTCCGTAAACCAGGGGGCGGCTCTCAGCAGACGCGGAACCTGCCGGCACCTTGATCTTGGGCCCCCAGCCTCCAGGCTGTGAGGAATGAATCTCTGCTGCTTGTAAGCCTCTTGGTCTCCAGTGATCTGCATGGCAGCCTGAAGGGACTAGGAAGGCACATAAGAAGGGGGAGGTTCTGCAGAGCGGCATGCCAGCCTTAAATAATGGTGGGCACTAGCAAAAAGAATGGTTAGAAAGGCTTGACTTCAAAGATTCAGTTGGATGGGCTGTTCATCTTGTCATAACAGACATGGAGATCCTTAAACGGAGCTTACTGTGCACGAAGTCCGACTCCCCTGCCACTACATAGCCACACCGCACACACTGCCCCTCGGAAGCAGGCCCTGTGGCTTTCCCAGTGGGTGACTGTGGGGCCAGGACAGTTCTGGTGGGGAAACTGGAGGCTGAGATATGGTATTACACGTGCACTGGCTCTGGGCCCAGATTCTAGACTCACGTTCCGGCTCCACCCTCATTAGGGATGTGACCTTGGGCACGTTCTGTCATGTCCATGCTCCAGGTACATCATCAGTAAAACGGGCAGCAACAGTTCTGTTGAAGTTGAATGAGTCACACCCCACGAACACACAGAGCAGAGGCCTAGCACGAGGAAAGTGCCCAATGCTCGCGGCGACCACGCAGAGGAGGCCTCATCCACACTGTCTGTCACGGTGTCCTTTGCTTTAAGGCAGTGACCAGGCCCTAAGGCAATGACCAGGCCCTGTTCCCACGCTATCTCAGCCGTCAGAGCAGTCATTCGAGCACCACTTCCTTGGAAGCCCTCCTTTAACTCTCTAGACAAGGAGAGGCCCTCTTGTTATTTGCTCCCAAAGCAGGCCATGTGAAACAGGGCAGCTAACACGCATGTTTTACTCACCCATATACCCCAGCACCCATCACGGAGAGCCAGTGAGAGGCCTGAGTCTTGGCGGAAACCCCCCACCCACTGGATGCGAAAGCCTCCACTGCAGACACAATCAAGCTCTTGGTTTATTTGAACTTGCGTATTTGCACTGCACTATGCCTGTCCTTGTTTTACGTGTTTCTGTTACAGTGTTTCTGTTATACTGACACTGTTACTTTCAGTAATCCTAACAGTTAATGCACAAGTCTCTATTTAGCTTTTTATTACACAGTGTCCTTTGGCAGATTTACACCGCAGTCCTCCTGTTCCCAGAATGTTCATACCACCCCACAAGAAATTCTTAGATGTAAGAGAAAAAAAATATCTTATTGATACTGTGACTTTCCAGTGGTCAAAATCTTTTTCCCTTGGTTCAGGTCAGTGTATAACTTTGTGGTAGAAAAACGTTCTAATTTCTGCAGAAATAGTGAAGACCTGTGGTACTTGGCATATTGCTCCAGAAATAAAACCAGCAGGGGGAGTGTAAGAACATAAAACTAGTTCTCTGTGTCCCCAGGGACGGTGAGTGTCTTATGCTGGCCTCTGAGTGTGACTATTAGGCCGATTCTATCACTGACCCGCATCTTTACACAACCTTCAGACCTGTAACCACGTGAAGGCTGGGCTGTGGCTGTGGCTCAGAAAGTTTGGGTCTGGGCTGATAAGATCACCGACTTTTTCATGGATTGGGTTCATCTTAAGGCCTTTGTTTGGGGGTAGGGAAATGAGGACACTGACCTAAGCCTTACAAACCCCCTTCCAGCGCCGTGTCTGGCTGAGTTTGGGGCCCCCAGGGCCCCAGGTGGGCCTGCACAGGCACCGCTTTGGGTCTCTCGGACATCCTTGCTGCGGCTTTAAATGAGTGAGCTGTACTGTGGCCAGGCTGGCGATGGGCAGGCAGTGTCCAGGCTGGGCAGGTAGTGTCCAGGGGCACCAGGTCAAGTGTGACCCACTGCACATGCCTTCCTGTCAGTGACCTTCCTGGGCCACGTCTTGTCTTCCTCTGAGATATTTCACGATAAAATGATGACACTCGGAGGCGGATCAGGCAGCATTCTGCACTGGCACCGCACTGGCACCACACCGGCAGACACGAAGCCCTTGCTCAGTGCCCACCGCGCGGTGAGGGGCGGCTTCTGACCCCTTCTCGGCCCGCGGGGCACCGCACAGCCAGAGCGCCCCATCAGCCCGCACGGCAGGCGCCTGCCCGCCAAGAGCCAGAGGAACAGCCTCTCCGCAGCCCTGCCCGGCGCTCCACCTGCGTCCCAGCCCCGGCCGCCCACTCTCGCTCTCCCACCAGCGCCGCCACATCATGGCACCTCGGACATGCTGGTTCTCTCCGCCTGGACCACTCTTCCCGCTGTTTTCCGTGGACCCCACTCCTCCCAGACCCCTGAGCCCCTGGCCGACGGCCACTCCCAGCGAGCGAGGCCCCGCCCTGCCCGGCCCTGCTTCCCCTGCGCTGGCCACCACGCGCCGTCGCTGCCCGGCCTCCGCCTCCCGTGGCTGCGAGGAACGCGGGGACAGTGACGGTGCCTTTACCTCTGACGGGGAGGTGGGGCTGCGGGCAGGGAGAGCGGGCTGTACGGAGACAGAGGCGAGGGTCCAGGGCTCAGACGCGGCCACAGGCAGAGGGGGCAGGGCGGCCAGAGGCGGGGACAGGCGCGGGGACAGCGGGCGCACAGAGCCCCCTGTAGGCACCGTAGGCAGGCGCAGGGGCTGCACGCAAGCGCCGCCGGACCGCTGGGCGCCACGGGCTTGAAGCACGTCCGCTGACCTGCAAGCACCGGGCGTGGCCACCTCGGGGAGGGCCTGGGGTCTGGACACTGTCCGCAGCAGCGCCGCCAGCGGCCCGGGCGAGACCTTGCTCCGAGGGATGCACCTCGTGCCGCACCCCCACCCGCGCTCGCGTGGGGCCCCTGGGGCGGCAGATGGGGCCCGGGGAGCAGCGCGGGGCATGCGAGGAACACGCCCTGCAGATGCGGCGGCCATGGCCGCACAACGTGAACAATGTGTCCTGAATGCTTGGTCTGCCACTTGAAAATGGCTAAAATGGTCCATTTTACCCCAGATTTAAAAAAAAAAGCACTGATGTAAGAATAAAATGGAAATTGCTACAACAGGGCATGGGATTAAGAGTTTTGTCAAACGTTAAAAATGTTCTGTCTTTTAAACAGAGACAATAAGCTTAAGCATCAACATTAATAGGCTGAGAAGAGAGAAGCCAACAGCCTGATGTGGGGAGGGCCAGAGACGCACGGGTACCAGGAAAGGGCGCTGGGGTGTGCGGGGAGGGAGAGTCCTGGAAGGGCTCCTACCTGACGGGCTGTCTCACTCTCAGAAGGAGGAGGCTGGGGTGTCGGGGAGGCAGCCGAGGAGGAGGTGACGCAGGGGTGGCCAGAGGACCTTCAGGCGGGCCTGCGCAGGGGTTAGAGGCCACTCGGAGCCTGGACTGGAAGGACGCATCTGCGACGGTGAGGAGGGTCTGAGGCTCAGGCCTGGGCACAGGCACCGGCCGCGGACAGGAGGCTGGGCTCTGGCCCAGGCTTCCTGGCAAGCAGGGGCAGAGGCTGGGCACTGAGGGTGTCAGGAGGCGCAGGGCTGAGCTGACATGCCGCGGGAAGGAGGGGACCACGGGGTGGAGGCACTGGGGTGAGGGTTCAAGAGAAGACTTCTGAGCACGGGCAGGAGAGGGTGAGCTGGGCTAAGGGTTCAGGGAAATGAAGGGTCAGCACGGAGGTGGGCAGTGCAGCACAGAAGAGCCTCCCGATGGGGGACAGGCCGGGGTCCCGCCCAGACCAGGCTTGGCCAGGGTATAGGCGGCTACAGAGAGAAAACCCATTACAGAGAGAGACCTGGGTCCTGCCCCCAGAGGATGTTCCTGCATGTTCTTCCTCCCAAATGCATAAATAACTAGGACGATCTGTGACTCTTCTGCTGGACTCAATCTTCTCTTTACTGAACTCCTTTTTTTTCCCTTTAGGAAAAGGCTTATGATCCAGGCACTACCCCATCTGCACCCTCGCTCACCTACTGTTGCTCCTATATGATGACTAAGCCCAGCAGGCCCCCGTTCTGTACCCGAGCACGGGCTGGTGATCCGCAGAGGACACAGAAGCCCGCTCGACCATGGACATGGGCAGTGACCACACTGCGTATTAACAATACTAGTAGAAAATTAATCATCATCTCCTCAAGTCTTCCAAAGGCTAAGCGTGGGTATTTTCTACTTCCTCGCCTCTAGGGCCCTGAGCTGACCACTAACATCACTGGCCTCGGACTGTATACCGAAAAGGGCCCCAAAGGAAGGGGGTGTGCAGGAAATAAGTGTTCTAGAAGAGCTCCTATCTGACAGCTTCTCTTTACGGGACCTGCACCTCCTTACGTGGCCCAGACCCCCGTGGTGGGCACGCTCCCATCTCACGGGTCTCAGCAACGGGAGTCTGCCTGGCAGGCCACCTTCTCACTCGGAGCAGGCAGGGACGGACAAGGGAGCTGCCCTGAGGCCTTCCGGAGTTTATGCCCTTGCCACACGGTCCCAGACAGTGTCTCATTGACATGCCAACGCTGGCTTTCTTCAGCGGACAGGACAAAAAAAAACAAACCACCAGCATTTCTGAAATAGATCGGTTCCTCTTTTGTTTGGATTGATGTAGAAAATGTTTGACATTCTATCTCTATCTTACTTTAAGTGCATCAAGTGTATCTTTGCAGAAGCCCAGATTATAGGTCATCACTTTCACAACATGTCAACGTGCAGCCAGTGGCACGTCCCTGCGAGAGCGGCGGAGGGAAAACCGCGCTTCCGACCCCACCTGTGTGTCCTCTGAATGTTGTCACCAGGGCGCAGTTTTCTTGCTCCAGTTTGAGGATGGTTACTTGGCCTGAATGGTCACCAATAAACACATGCCGGGTTTCAACATCAAATCTATCATGTAGGCATTAAGGATTGTTTCTCAAAATTGACTGGAGAGACTCACAACAACAAAAACAATTTAAAATCTAAAAATAAAAATAAATAAACCCATAAATGAGCAAATCCCATATGAGAAAAGTTTGGACACGATGCTGAAAGACACAAAAGTGGACAAACAAAACAAAAGCATATTATTGGACAGTCAGACTCAACATGATAAAATGTCAATTTTCAGAACACGCATTTATACATCCCTGTACAACCCCTATAAAATATCAACATATATGTTTCTTCGTAGAGCTCAATATATTAAGTCTAAAGTCCATGTAGGAAAAAATAAGTAAAAGGAGCCAGGAATACTCTGAAAGTAAGAATTATGGATGATATAACACATGTTGTAAAGTCTCTTTGATTATAAGTGTGGTACTGGTGCGTAAGTAGACCAGCAGACCAATGGAACAGACTAGAGTGTCTAGAAATAGACACAAAAGCCTAAGGAAATTTAGTACATGCATGGCAAAGATGGCTATTTAAATGAATAAGGAAAAGATGGATTAAAAAAAAAAGATGTTGGCACAAACTGCATAGTCATTTGGAAAAATAAAACAGGATCTGCATTTCAGATCATACGCCAGTATAAATTCCCAATGAATTAGGGATGTAAATGTAAAAAATGAAGAATATAAATTCTAGATAGAATGAAAAATCTGTTTACTCAAAAACACAGACAACACATGCCAAAGCAAAGCCAAGACAAACTGGAAAAAAAATATGTGCAACTGATGTCACAAAATGCCCAAACCCCTAATATAAAAAGAGCTGTCCAAAAAAAAAAAAAGAACACAAAGCCAATAGAAAAATGGGCAAAAGATCTGAATGGATAGTCCAGGGAGAAATGAAAACGGCGCTGTGCGGGGACAATGAACCAGAGGGCCTGACCGCTAGGGCTGAAAGGCGGCTCGCAAGGCTGCCGGAGCCGGAGACCTGGACCCCAGGAGGGCTCCTCCCGTTAACAGACAGGACCGGCTCCTGAGCCTTAGCCGACGCACAGCATGGTCTAGGCAAAGCGCCTGTTTTCCTTCTGGGAGACTGGAATTTTGGCACATGCCAGAAAGAGGCTGCCTACGTGCCCCGTCCCCAGTAAAATTCCAGGGCTGAGTCTCCACTGAACATCCCTGCTTGATGAAAGCATAGCAATCCCACTTCTAGAGATCTGCCCGGAGATAGCCTGGAGAGAACATGACCGACACATGCCGGAGGCAAAGAGCTGTGCATTATTTTAATGAAGTTTGAAAACAACCCAAAAGCCCACCAAAGGGGACTTCCTAAATCAACTACACATGTCCATGCGACAGAATACTATGCAGCTGGGGGAAAAAATGAGACCATCATATGACAAGCAAACTGACATGCAGTGATTTCCAGGCTCTATTATAAAGCAGGAAAAAGCCAAGGCCCGTGAGTTTACATGCCACCTTTGTAAGAAAGGCGGGGAAACTAAATGTGTGCGAGCTCATATTACAAAGGGAAGCGCTGGAAAAATGAATCAAGATCCGACAAGAAGGGCTGCTAAGGAGAAGGGGGACAAGCTGAGGGAATGGGATGGCAGTGGGTCTGCTCTGTCACAGTTTCCATTTTGGAATCTAGTAGTTATTTTACATACTAAAAATATTTACAAAGTAAAAGAAAAAAAATTTCCCAAATTGACAGCAAAGTTAAAATGAAAGAACCTAACTATGGAACTGGTGAGAGAACCATGCAGTTCAAAGAACTATTTCGAGAAACTTTAAAACACAGCATGTTGACTGTACGGCCTTGGTAGTGTCCTTGGTAAGCTAAGGACAAAGATCTCACTAAAATCTCACTCAGCAATCTGGTTACTTTAATGCTGCTATTATTATTTTGAAACAACTTAGATATATCATGGGATAAGGCAAATAATGACTTGTGTTAACTTTTTAGGGACCAAAATTTACAGGCCAAGATAGAAGAATCAGGTATAAAAAGTAAGAAAGAACGCTGTATGTTAAATTAGAACCAGAAACATCGCACAAACTGCTATAAAGGGCTAGCTCTCTCTGCGAACTATTCTTCACTAAAAGAAACAGCTGAGTCCAGGACGGGGGCTGAAGGAACCAGATGTGTCTAAGAGGTCAACGGCCAGGGGTGCATCAGAAGGACAATATGATGAGGCTCCTACTGGCCAAAGATGGGACAGTCATGAGCATTAAAAAAAGAAAAGGAAATTTATTGAAATATGATTATTAAAAAAACAAACAAACCCTAAGATTTATAATAATGTTCAAAAAAAAAAAAGACCTCTACTGGAGGTGACCAGGGCACTAAGTCTCTGCTCTGAAGCAAGTGATTAGAGAGAAATCATTAAGATGTTAAGTTGCTTTTCCTGTACTAACTGTGCTTCAAGATAACCAAGTAGGCCTAGTTCGTAAGGGAAAATTCTACCTTGGAGAATTCTGACTCACAGATGTGGAAAACTGATAGGATCATAAAAATCACCATTTTGCAACCCTAAGGGAAGATGCGGTTCGGGCAAAGGGCAGCACCGGCTGAAGCACCACGTCGGAGGCTGACGGGGAGGCTGCCCTGCGGAGGCTGCCCTGCGGAGGCCTGGCTGTAACCGCAGGTGACGACGCAGAAGCGCCACAGGCCACACAGCACGGCGGCCACGTGCTCCCACCGAAAGCCGGGTCTGAGGCGACTTTCAGAAAACACGGCGGGAGGCCAGGTAGAGGACAGGCTAGATGGCATTATGAGGGGCAGAGAGCACCTTGGAACGCGGGGCGTCTCCCAGAACCGACTCAGGTGCTCCCACACACCCCAGTAGCAAGAGGAAAACCGAGCGGGGGCTGTGCGGCTCTGGACTGAGGCTGAGGACATACGACAACCAGGTCCAGCATGTGGGCCTGGTCTGGACCCAATTTCGAAACAAACTCACCGAAAAAAGCCCTTTTTTTGAAACAGTAAGTGAAATTTGAAAATGGATCAACTATTCAACAATATCAAGGAATGGTTATAAATGTTTATAGGAATAGTAATAGCATCGTGACTTTTAAAAAAGGCCCCCAAAAGATCTGAAAAGAGATGTACAATGAATGAAGTATGTACGGATGAAATGACGTAAGGTCTGGGATTTGCTTTTAAATATTCCAGCAAGAAGGGACAGAAGAATGAACAGTGGGTCTGAGAGAGGAGTATGTGAGTCCCAATTAGGCCATCTTCTCTAATTTGGCAGACGTCTTGAAAATCTTTGTAAAACATTTTAAAAAGTGGAAATGGTGTAACAAATTCTTCCATAATCCCAAGAATCCCAAGAAGGGAGAAAAGTTACTCTCTAAACAAGTTACTAGACAGGTTTAAAACAGTATGAAAATTTATGTGGAATAAGATTCAAGTTTATCTTGACTAATTAACAAGGACACAGGACAAAAAAAATCAGATGTGATCTGCTACCCAGTAGTCCTCACCACGCAGGCAAATGCCAGCATTCTCTAACAAGTATGACAAAGCCTCCTGGCAGAGGGCTGACACAGAACAGCGGCACCTCAAAGCCAGGGTGATGCATTGGGCGTGATACGAGGAAACACGGAAGCCAGAATGGCTTCTCAGGACTCTTTTCCTCAACGGGAATAAATCTCAAGGACAGCCTGGTGAGAAGACATTCCGCTACATAGGGTGACGTCTTGGAAAATCTCCAAAATACATAAGATCTTAAAATGAAGATTACGTGAATTATTTTTGTGGAAGCATGAAAAACATGCTCGAAACATGGTCAAGTGACAAGTTGGAAAGGGAGGCTGGGTAAAGCTTGCACGAGCCTAAAGGGGCGAGGGTGGGAAGGGAAAGCCACTGTTTCCAGCACCAGCCTGCCGGGGCCTCCGGGAGGCACCTGGCTCTGCTGAGGCGGCTGTGCAGAGGGCCAGCTGAGACCCCAGTACCCAGCGCTAAGCCTGGGCCCGCGGGGAAGTCACGTGCTCCGAGGTCCCTTCAACTCCCTAAGCCTTGCTTTCCACTCTGTGAAAACGAGAATTAGGTCTTTCTGGGTTAACCCCCGTTCTGATGCTAAACGAAGTGAAGGACCCCGCGAACTCCAGGGGGCTGTGATGCCGGACGGTCTCTCCCGGCCACTCCTCGCTCCCCTCTCCTCCTCATTAGCATCGTTTTAACCATCAGAGTTCACTTAACACATGAGGCGTCAGGTCTTCAGCCAAAGCAACCAAAGGTTTCAAGGTCATGCAGAAAATGACAGTTCAAGTTGTGAACTCATCAGCCTGTCTGTATTTTTCTACCTGATGTTGGTTATTTTCACTGCGTATCTCCTTCTCTGCATGGAAGCCTGCACTCTGACTTGTTCTACGGCTTGTTGGCTTGGAGGGATGACGGGGATGGACATGGGAGAGTCAGTCCCTCTGCAGAGGTCACTTGTCTATGCCACCAGCGCCCACCGTGGAGAGAAATAGGGGTAATGGTACTCTTCTGTCCATTTTATGTTGTTTCAAAAGATCTCCTTCTTCCCTCTCTCACCATTAAAAATCCTGGAAGTATGGAAGGTCGCACAAAGAGGAGACGTGGGGGAGGGGGGTTCCCATGAAAAAACATGTTAACTGGATTTTAACGTGAACCCCAACACCGCATGGGTCGCCTGTGACAATCTGTGCACCAGGCAGCTGGAGGGAAAAACCCCAGCCTGGGGGAAGCCTCCCGCTCCCAGCTGAGCGCCTCTGGCAGGAGCAGTGCTGTCGGACATCCGTGTGCAGCACGGGGCAGGCCCCAGGGGTGCGCATGGTCCCAGGGCAAGGGCTGGGCTGGCTCCCAAACTGGGGTCACCGAGGCAGAGCTGGTGGCGGTGAGGGCATCTTCCGGAAGGGCCCGTCTGTCTGCAGTGGAGCAGCTCCCTCCACCTCAGCAGCAGCGGTGGGCTGGATGGTCACTGATGCTGGGCGACGAAGCCACAGGCTTCCACACACACAGCAGAAGCGTCTGATACCCAATGACCGTTTTTGCTTGGTAAACCACATGTGTGGCCACAGGAAACAGCTGAAAAATGAGGATGACTCTTGGAGACAGCTTTAGAGAGGAGGCCACTAGCACAGCCAGGGCGAGTTTGACTGTATTTCATTTCAGTGTTTAAAAAGTAAATTTCTTAAAGGTGAGATCTGTATTTTCTCTATACTCCTTAGTTTGGTTAAATGCTACAGAAGCCAGCGATCACACCGATGCCAGCTCTGCCCTCAAAGGGGAAAGGCAGCACTTGGGGAAAACAGCCATCCCAGGGAAGACCCGGGTCCTACGGTGATCTGCCTGCATGCTAGCCGGCGGTCACAGATAAGGCACGTGACCCCCGTGGGCTCCGGCCGGCTCTTCTGTGAAACGAGGGGCTGAACTGCCTGGACTTCCGACTCTGGCACTCGAGGGAATCATTCATCTACTGGCAGGAGAGGGTGTGCATTTCGCCTCCAGCATCATGTCCACCTGAACTGGCACCGAGGAAGTAAACTTCAGCGTCTCTTTTATGAGCAGGTGGTAACACCCCCTCAGCGATGAGCGGGCCCTGCATTCCCTTCCTCGTCCCCTTGTTTCTGGTCTCCTGGGTAACCTGCCACTTCTACAACCTTCCACAATGCCACTCTTCATGTCTTCATCTTGCCCTTCGAGTGAGGAAGGTAAGATACTGCCACACATCTGTGAGCCCCCCTCCCTGCCACATGCACACGCACACATACAAAACCAGCTACTGCCACACGCCTGCGAGGGAACAGCAAAGTACGTTGTCAGACTGTTGAGTATCGTGAGCATCGGGCACTTTGTAAGTGTGAGATGAAAATCTGAACGCAAGTCTATTCCTTCCTGCTTTGCTGATGAGCGATCCGTCTCCACCTATTTCCTCATTTGTCAGAAGGTGGAGAGATTCTGTGCTTTTTAAACTAAAATGCTCAGGGCCCTCCACCCTGACGGTGGTGGCGTCACCCACACAGGCCTCATGCTCGGCAAGCCTGAGCGTGCTGGAGCCCAGTGGGCTGCGTGTGAGGACCACCCCGCACTGGCGGGTCTTCACACTGAGCCCACAGGCCCTGCAGACCCGGCAGGCGACAGACAGCATCACCCTACATATCCAGAGAAAGGCTGGTATGGAACAGGGTCCACGTCACTGAGTAGAAACCAGCCAACCTACCCTGGGCCTGGCATAGCAGCCTCTCAGTAAATATTTTTTCAAGGTAACAGGGTCCTGTGGGGCTGCGAAGCACCAATGGGAGTATTTACAACTTTAAAATCTATGTGAAATATGTAAGATAAATTGTTTCTGTACAAAAATAAAAGACGTACTTCAAGGATGGTTTTACCTCCGTGTCTCCTGACTCCTATCAGCCGAGGCTCACACACCTGGGCTGTGTCCCGTTCAGATGTCAGACTTCGCGCCCCGGCAGACCCACAACCTGCTCAGCTGGGTCTCTTGCTTCAGGGGAAACGACCCCACTCCTCTCCGCCTGCACGGACACCCCTGACGGCTCGTGTACCAGGGAAGTCTATGTACGAGCACCTTACCTACTCATCAGGGCGGCTCAGCACATAAAACACGTCAGGTCGCACATACCCGAAGTTCATGGACCAGAGAAGCCAACAGGCAGGCGCGCTGCAGGGGATTTCTGTCCCCCAAAGGATACTGCAGGCCCGAGGCCACGGCGCCGGTGCGGCGGCCTCCCAGGCGTCGTCCGCTCTCAGAACAGTGCCACACAAACTGCTTGTCGTGTCCGGTGCTCAGCACCCACTCCAGCTCCAGCACGAACAGGAGCATGGTCACTCTGCTCTGATGCGCTGAAAGCCAAGAGACAGGAGAAGGACCCGTAGAGCGCCCTGCAGGGCCAGGGCACAGCGTGGCCCGAGGCCCTCCCTCCTCTCTCTGCCTGGCGGAGAGCACAGCCGGCACCACAGACCCAGGCTGTCAGGGCGGCAGGGGGGCGTCCCTGCAGAGGGCCCCGGGAGAGCTCGCCGGCGCTCCGACAGACCTCCTTGTCTGCCCAGGGCCCTCCTTCCTGCCTGCCCACCACAGAGAGCTCCGCGCCACAGGCCCGCACCACCTCCCAGGTGTCAGAACAGTGAGTGTCAGGTTCCGGGCAACCACAGAATGATGGACGTATCAGGAACGATGTTCTGGGTCAGTTCACATAAACCTAAAAGGCAGTGACGAGCTCTATTGTGCTCCTTTCAATGAAGTCTGGCTCATAAACCCACACCAAAGTCATAAAGGAGCTTCCTGAGGGAATCAAAGGCTTGGCAGGGCGGGCAAAATCAGTCCCTTAGGTCAGAGGACACGGACACGTGATGAGAGCAAGCTTCCCGGGGCTGCTCGTACAGAAAGGCAGCACCACCTCAGGGTCAGAAGGCGTCCCTGTCTTCTACCCCATCTCCCTACATTTTACACATGGGCAAAGTGGGGCACAGTAAGGTCGACTAGTTTGGCCAAGGTCTCATGGCTCCTCAGTTATCAAATGTAACCAATGAAATATTTCCTTTCCTGCTATACAGTTCCAGGGGTGAGGAGGAGGTCCACTGCCACTGGACAGAGCTGCCCGGAATGAACAGGGACAGCCACCCTGGCCCCTGACCTCACTGGGCATGGGGCCCAGGCCCTGGCAGCCTAGAGGGTGAGGGCAGTCAAAGGGCTGTGAGCGGACAGAGGAGATACCAGTCTCCCGCTCTGATCATGGGGCAGACAGAGTGGATGGATCAATGCAGCTCCACTGGCAATAACGATATCACCCGTCAATTCCAAGCGTCTAACAGGTGCCACGTACTTAAATAGATTCTCTCCCCTAGTCACCGTAATGACCCTGCAAAACTGGGGGTTTCCTCATTTTTCAGATACAACCTAGCCCTGGAAAGATGTCCTTTTTAGACTGGCCACCAAACAACATAGTCGAAACCATACTTGATACCCAGGGGACAGGGATTTCACCAAATGGCTGGTTCTCAGTCTGACACAGGAGGCGTGGGGCGTCTACAGGGAGACTGACGGGACAGAGAAGCGGCAATGCCACGACTTCTCTCCAGCAAATACCTGCCTTTCAGAGTGCCAGCCACCCTCGAGGCCAAGCACCGACTTTACCTGAAACATGTGACTTTCCGGAGAAGCTCCTGAAGATCTTGATATCAAATGTTCAAGTTGCACCAGTGATGGAGTGCAAGTAACTCTCTGATGGGTCCAGGTGTACCCAAGTCTGTATCAGGCAGAAGTGGCCCCCCAGCACTTTGCCCCTGTTCCTCAAAAAGGAGCCTTTGACCTCTCTGCCACTTCCTAAGTCCCAGGGGAAGGCAGCGGCCCAGAAGACGGGGAGGTCTAGCCCTCCGACCTGCTCTTGTGTGCCAGGGGAGACAGAGGCCCAGAATGTTAGGCGACTTGCTCAAAGGTGCCACAATTCCTCTAATCGAAAAGAAATCCTTTAAAGGCACACCCGTATCAGTAAGCTTCAGAAATCTGGGCTTGAAGTCTGGCTATATTTCTAGAATACTGCTGAGAGGGGACATCTCTGCTCGATCCTGATCTTAGGGAAAAGCACCCAGCTTCTCACAATCAAGTATGATGTCAGCTACAGGCTTTTGTAGATGTTTCTCTTTCAAGCAGAGGAAGTCCCCCCTCTGTTTGTAGTTTGCTGAGAGTTTTTATCAGCAAGAGGGTGTCAGATTTCATCAAATGCTTTCTCTGCACCGATACGATTTTACTTCTGTACAGGGATTATATGATTTCCATATTTGGAATAAATCCCACGTGGTCGTGGTGTATAATTTCTTCCATGCATTATTGGATTCACTATTTTTTTAAAGGATTTTTACATCTTTGTGAGAGAGATTGTTCTGTAGGTTCCCTTTCTTGTAATGTCTTTCTGTAGTTTTGGTATCACTGATGGATTTTTGAAAAGTTCAGACATAGAATTCATGTAATTTTAATATTACTGTTTAACCGTTTGAGAGTGTATCATTCAGTGATGTTTAGTGTGGTCACAATGTTGCACGATCCTCACCAGAGTATTTGCACCACCCCAGGAAGAAACCATGACCCCAGTTCCCTGTTCCCTCATGCCTGGGCAACCACTGGTTTCCTTGGTGTCTGTGGCTTCCTGTCCTGTGCATTTCATGCAAATAGACACATACAATGTGGTCCTCCTGGTCTTGTTTCTTTCTCTTGGTGGGTCTTCAAGGTCATCTGTGTATAGCACATACCGCTACTTCACTCCCTTTTTATGGCCAGAGAATAACCCACTGTGCTGACAGAGCGCGTCCTGTTTACCCATCACGTGTCCACGGACATTCAGCTCACTTCCCCTCTTGGCCATCGTGAATAATACTGCTGTGCACCTGGGCGTGCAAATACCTGTGAGTGCCTGCTTTCACCTTTTTGGTATAAACTTGGGATAAATCTCACTTAGTCGTGGTGTGGTATCCTTTTTGTTTTTGTTTTGTTTAGGATTTTTGCATCTCTCGTCCTTCATAGAATTGCAGAGAGTCAGGGCCTTGCCCTGGATGAGGCTCTGGCTTAAGGGGAAGCCGTGGCTGGTCTGGCCGTCTCTCCAGCCCACTAAACCTCCTTCTGATCCGTGCTGTGGAAATGGTCGAGGGCCTCTGTCAGTGCTGCAGACCCAATGGAGGCCTGATCCCTTCCCTCCCGAGCCTTCTGAAACACTTAACCAAAAATGAAGCAAGCCCCACGCAGGGCAGCTCCGTCCTAACACTGGCCCCGCTCTGAGCCTGCTGCCCTGTGTACAGGTGGCGGGTGTAGAACAGAGACAAAGAACAAAGGCTATGGGTCTGCAGCCGCTGGGGCTGGTCTGGTTTTGCACTTTGCTGGCTCCAGGACCACGGGCGAGCCACCCGACCTCTACGGGCCTCGGCGTCTTAACGACCCCGAGGTCGTAGTCTGTACCTCACAGGACTGCGGTTCTGTCCCTGGCTACTGTAAAGTGAGTGTGTGGGCCGTGGGCGCCTCTGGGAAATGTTTCAGAGTCTAGGTAAACACTGCTCTCTTTCCTACCTTGATAGTTTTTCACAGGAGTCATCTTGTTATAATCTTCTGATAAAATAAACTCCTGCAAAACAGAAGAAAAATACTAAGCAAAAAGAAGTTCACTAAGTGAATGACTATGTTTTGGTACAACTGGGTGGTATAGAGCAAACATCATCCCGAATCACATGAACACGAGTATCTTGCCAATCAACTCAGCGTTTTTTGTACCTCTTTAAGAGTAACAATCATAATTATGACACAATGCAATTACCATAAATGTTACCTTGTGACTTTGAGCTGATTTTTTTTGAGAGTGCATGAGAAGAAAACTGGATCAAATTCAGTCTTGATATTAGTCAATTTTGAAGGTAAACCTGCTTCAAATTACAGCTGACCCTTGAACAACACAGGTTTCAACTGCATGAGTCCACTTATACATGGATTTTTTTCAATTACACTTACTGAACAGAAATTTTTTTGGAGATTTGCAACAACCTGAAAAAACTGCAGATGAACCGCACAGTAAATACTGATAACATCAAGAAAAAGCTATGTTATGTCACAAACACATAAAAGGTACTCACTTATTACTTACTAGCATAAAATCAACAGGGACCTATTAATTGATAAGTTCTGGGGAGTCAAAAGTCACATGAGGACCTCTGACTGCCCAGGTGGCTGGCACCCCTAGTGCCCAAGCCATTCAAGGCCCACTGGGCTCTCCTCTCAGTGGTGGAACAGCTGACAATTTGCAAGGCTCTGGCGGGTGAGCAAATGGATGGCAACCCTCTACTGCAGAGAAAGTCAGGCATTTAGAGACTTTGTTTCTATTATCAGTAACATAGTTCCCCTTACAACAAGCTCCTCAAGGCTGCATTATCACTTATTTACATACCTGCATGGCACCTGGCACAGTGGATCATCAATATGCATTGACCAGACGGATATGCCAAAGGCATCTCCCAATCTGATGAGATTAGTATGCACGTCAAACTAACTAAAAAATATCAGCCTCTATAAAACACACTGCATATTCTCCGTGAGGACACATATGATTGAGTGTGTGTGAGTGTGTGTGTGTGTGTGTGTGTGTGTGTGAGCTTCACCTAAGCACCTGCACGTACAGTCAGTCACCTGTATGTGGAAGCCAGTCAGCTGTGTACAAACCCAGCCAGGGTTTAAGTCCTTCAGCTTCTTTCAAATGCAAAAGCCCATCTATTCTTTTTTTAATTGAAGTATAATTGATATACAATCTTATTCAAGTATACAACAAGTGGTTCACCAGTTACTCACATTATTCAATCCTCACGCCCACTAGTGCAGTTACTATCTGCCAACATAGGAGGACGTTCCAGAACCACTGGCTGTTCTCATGCTGCCCTACCATCCCCATGACCAGCCTACATTATGATTGAGAATCTGTGGGTCCCTTCATCTCCCTCACCCTCCGCACCCACCCACCCCAACGCCTCCTCCATGGTAACCCTCAGTCCCTTCTCAGTGTCAATGAGTTGACTGCTGTTTTGCTCATTCTGTTTTTCTTTGAAAAACCCATATATTCTTAAAGAGTAAATTGTCAATCATAAGGAAAGCTGCAAAGAATAATAAACTGATGCCTTCATATGAGCTTAAAAATAGAACAATGAATCTTTTCAAAACATTTGGAGCCTTCCAGGATTTTTCCTTGATGACTTAGGTGAGTGTGAGGACAGATGCATAAACTCCTCACTCGCTATGAGTATGTACCGAGTTCATAGGGTTTGTGTAATTCTTTACAAGGTGATTATTGTGTTCGCAGCAGCCACACGGGTAGAGTCCCGGGTGATGTGAGAGCATTACAAGGTGACAGAGTCCCTCTGGGCATTCACCTACCTGCCCTATCCTTCCTTCGGAAGCGTATCTACAAAGGGCCTTTCATCACCATGATTTTCTCAGTAAAAACATCATTTAACTTGTCATTTTCTTCAATTCATGTCATTACTCCTTCAAGGAGTAACAGTATACCCACTTCTCCTTTCTGAGGAGCTGGATTCCCAGCTGAAGAGAGCAGATGAGTTTCTAAAGAAGTCAAGTCGTTTTTCCTATAGGAGCTTCCAGGGTGGGTATGGAAGCCCGGCATGTCTACCCAAGGATTCACTACCCCCTTAAGTCCCAGCAATAGTGGCTCACACTGAGCACCCCCTTCAGAGGGCCCTGCATTTCCTCACACACACACAATCAATGTAGAGACAGCTGTTATTTGCACATGTTCCCTTAGTTCACACACTTCCTGTGTTATTCCCAATCTACTGAAACAGTTCTCTAGCTTGGGCAAAAGGTACTTCAGTTCCTTTTGGAAAAAGGAAGGACATAAAATAAACCTGATGCAGATCTGCACTAGGAATTAACATACAATAAAATTACCAAGTCACTATACTGGTGAACCTATTTGTTCATTTATTTTTCCTATGAAAATAGAAACTCATCATCATGGAGAAAATCTGGGAGATTTTGTCAACATTTTGTTTTTTGATGAAAGAAACAATATGCTGTTCTAAGACCTGTAAGACAGATGAACATTACAAGTCCCTTGTGACACCATTTCTCAGAGATAACTTGTGAAACACACTGGAATAATATAAAACAAAATATTATCACTAACAAT